GAGAGAGAGGGAGAGAAGAGAGAGAGAGGATGAGAGGAGACGAGAGAGAGGAGAGAAGAGAGAGAGAGAGAGAGAGAGAGGAGAGAGAGAGAGAGATAGAGAAGGAGAAAGAGAGAGAGAGAAGAGAGGAGAGAGAGAGAGAGAGAGGAGAGAGAGAGAGAGGAGAGAAGAGAGAAGAGAGAGAGAGAGAGAGAGCGGAGAAGAGAGAAGAGAAGAGAGAGAGAGAGAGAGAGAGAGAGAGGAGAGAGAGAGAGAGAGAGAGAGAGAGAGAGGAGAGACGAGAGAGAGAGAGAGAGAGAGAGAGAGAGAGAGAGAGAGAGGATATCGCTAAACTGTAGGCCGATTGCTTTCAACTTAACCAAGCTTGCCATAACGGAACCTGCTCGAAATTCTCATGGAGTTCCTTTCATGATCTGACAGCAGGTCGATACGCTATCCATAGACTGTAAGGCAATATTTCGACTTGTCCCGGATAGAGGCTATACTTCAGCATGGTCTGACGTCACGAAGCCTCCCACCACTGACGTCACAAGGATTCCTACCTCCGACGTCACAAGGCCTCCTACCACTGACGTCACAAGGGCTCCTACCACTGACGTCACAAGGCCTCCTATCACTGACGTCACAAGGTCTCCTGCCACTGACGTCACAAGGTATCCTACCACTAACGTCACAATGTCTCTTGCCACTGGCCTCTTTCCCACGAGTGCGTCTGCCTGTCCCGATTTAAGGTCGTACAGGTCCCGGTAAGAATCAGAGTCTAGGCCAACCCCAGCAGCAGCTTAATGCGTGTCAGGTCGAGAGTTGAAAGGGATGCACGTAGACACTATTCGCACTTGCTCCTCAATTTTACTCAACTTTATTTGAAATCGGGAAGGCACTGCTACGGTAAAGTCACTAACTCTGCCTGAAACTTGCTTTTTGATGTTTCTCGTAGCGTGATCAGATATGTGATAGTTGATGTGATTTCCATAACCAAGCTTTTTCCTGCAGTTTTCGAACAAAGACTGATATGTGCTCGCGGAAAAATAGCAATTAATTTACCTGAATACATTTTTACCATTAGTTTCAAGTTCTGTGCCGCTTACGTAATAGTTGACCTGACTACGCCAGGTGAAATTCTATTTCTTCGGGGAAATTTGCGCAATTTAGCTTTCCATGCCAGTCTGTACGAGTTCGTGTGGCATTGCAAGACAAAACCTCCGCAGATGTCTTCACACACAAATAAGAGCCCCGCTTTGAGGGCTTCCCGTGCATTACCCGTGCGATGTTGAGATTTCGCCCGAATGGTTAGTCTATGCTTACATCGTTCAAGCTCGATCAAGCGAGCGACTTGCTCCGCCACTGGTGTCAGCAGTGAATTTGCGGTGCACAGGGGCGTGGGAAGGAATACACAAAGGGGTGGGAAGGAAAGGACTCAACTTCAACGTGCCGCTGACGTGCAAAATTGCTTTCTGGCGCAAAACAGCATCGTATTTCACGATTTATGTAGTTTTACTTCTCTACCCCGAATATTTGATTGCCAATGTGCATTTACGCGCACACGAATGCATGTAATGCATTTGACAAGGAGAGTCTCGTACCCCTGGAAACGGCATCGATGTCTCACTCTTTCAAAGTGAGGCTCAAACTCAGTGTGGTAGAGCTCAAGCTTGAAAGATTGCCGCATTTCCCTTCCTCCCACAACTCCACCCCCCCCCCCCCCCCCACCTCATCCCCTCCATCCCACTCCATCCATCTCATCCCCCCATCCCACTTCATCCATCTCATCCCCTCCATCCTGGGGTGCTGGTAGTGTAGTGGTTAACGCATCTGCGTTAACTGAAAATAAAATTTCAGGTAGAGTTAGTGACTTTACCGTAGCCGCACCGTTCCGATAACGCATCTGCGTTAACCACTGCGCGTCTGGGAAACCAGAGGTACGGGGTTCGATTCCCCGCGGTGCCCGCCCTTTCTGCCAGGGTGAGAGACAGGCGACGCCATATAGCCTCAGCAGCTGAGTGCGTCGTAAAGCCCCAGTGACACACACATCCCGTCCATCCCATTCCATCCATCAATCCAGCAAGCTTTGACAATGAGCCCGACGCGGAGATGAGATCCAGGATTGAGTTCTGCAATGTTAGAACACCACGGTCATCCGCATGGTTTCGATCTCCGACCACTTGCCCTTCGTCATGTACCTTCGCAGAGGCGCTAACAAATCTCAGCATAAAGATATGCGCGACTGAAGTGCACAGCATCCGTTTCGTCAGCTGCATCTTTTTGTCTTCAGAAATATCAATCATAATCTGATGAGCCAAGCTGAGCTTACACGATTATATGCCTACCACCTGGACTGAGGGTGCTCCCCCGGAATTAATGATCGGCTGCTGTTTTACAGACAACACAGCTGAGAATGCTGTGCAGTGCACAGTGTGCTGAGAACCTACACACGTCTTCTTTTGTTCCAGGCTATGGAGCCTCGGACGTTGTCTGGGACAACGACTACGACAGCACCGGCTTCTCGTCAGGAAGCTCAGGATATTCATCGGAAGGGGGAGGATCCGGATATTCATCGTCAGGGGGAGGTGGATCGGGATACTCATCTGGAGGAGGTGGAGGATCCGGATACTCGTCAGGAGGAGGAGGAGGAGCAGGATACTCGTCAGGAGGCGGTGGGGGAGGCTATTCGTCAGGAGGGGGAGGGGCAGGATCTGGGCACTCATCGGGAGGGGGAGGAGGATCAGGATACTCATCGGGAGGGTCTGGTTACTCATCAGGAGGAGCATCAGGACATTCGTCTGGAGGAGGAGGAGGGTCAGGATATTCGTCAGGAGGAGGATCTGGATACTCATCTGGAGGAGGATCAGGACATTCGTCGGGAGGAGGAGGAGGATCAGGATACTCGTCAGGAGGAGGCGGATCGGCACACTCATCAGGAGGGGGAGGAGGACATTCTTCGGGAGGAGGAGGGTCAGGATATTCATCAGGAGGAGGTGCATCAGTACACTCATCAGGGGGAGGAAGGGGACATTCGTCGGGAGGAGGAGGAGGATCAGGATACTCTTCGGGTGGAGGAGGGTCGTTAAACTCATCAGGAGGAGGAAGAGGACACTCCTCAGGTGGAGGATCCGGCTACTCTTCGGCGGGGGGAAGCAGCGGTCTCGCCGGCTACCGCGGCATCAACACCATCAACACCGGTGCCTTCAACACGGGCGTCGCCAGCGCCGCCTACCGGCCGCAGGCGGCCGCCGTCCAGCCGTCCTCCTTTGTCGCTCCCCAGCCCACCTTCAACGCGTTCAGGCCGATGGCACCATCACGCGTGCGTCAGGTGCAGAACAGCTACGCCTTCCCCCAGGCCACCACAGTTGCCAGGCCGGTTGTCCGGCAGCCGCAGCAGCAGCAGCAGCAGCTGCGGCGGCCGCTGCAGGCGCAGACCACCCTGCGTCCCGTGTTCGCCCAGACGCTCAGCCCCGGCCAGAGCTTCAACCCGCTGCCGCTTAGTGGCGCCACTGGCGGACTCCGGCAGCAGAACTACGGCTCACCGTCGGCGATAGGCGGCGCCACCGCTGCGATCGGCACGCAGGCGTACTCCGCCCCAGCGCAGAGCCTCGGCACGGCTACAACGTCCCAGGGGTACACAAACCTCAACCGGCCGAACCCGTTGAACACGAACACGATTGAGAACGCAAGCGGGACCGGAGCCAGCTTACCCGGGGCTTTCGTTCGGCAGAACACGTTCGTCGGGCAGAACACGGCCGGCGCGACCTTGGCGCAGAATTCGCAGACGTACGGTGCGCCGGGGTCGGGCTTCCAGTCCAGCCAGGGCGGGCTCCTGACAAACATCGGCGTCTCGTCGAATCTGGGCCCTGTGAGGGAGGTGCAGACACTGCAGGGCAGCGTGAACACGGGCGGTCAACAGGGCAACGTTATCAGCGGAGGCTTCCGACAAGGAGGCGTCACTGGAGGGTTCCAGCAGAGTAATTTTGTCAACACTGGGAGCTTTGTTGGAAACGGAGCCCAACAGAATGCATTCGTTGGAAACGGCATTCAGCAGGGAAGCGTACTGAACGGTGGATACCAGAGCAGTAACGCAGTCAACACTGGCAACTTCGCCAGCAACGTCAATACAGTCAACACTGGAAACTTTGTCAGCAACGGAAACACAGTCAGCACTGGAAACTTCGTCAGCAACGGCAACACAGTCAACACTGGAAACTTTGTCAGCAACGGCAACTCAGTCAGCACTGGCAACCTCGTCAGTAATGGCAACACAATCAGCAACGGCAACTTCGTCGGGGCTGGCGACTTGGTCAGCAATGACAACTTCATCAGCGGTGGAAATGGCATCATCAGCAGCAACACGATCAGCAGTGGCAGCTCAATCAACGGGAACACCATCAGTGGTGGCAGCATCATTAATGGTGACAGCACCATCAGCAGTGGCAACAGCCTCAGCAGCGGTAACCAGCAGGGCTACCAAATCACCGACGCAGGCCTCACCACCTCTCTGCAGGGTACCCAGGGCGGGTCCTCCACCTTCATCAGTTCGGGCGGCATCCAGGACGGCCAGCTCCTGGGCGTCTCGGGCGTGGACGTGCGCTCTGGCGACAGTTCCAGCTCCGTGACGTCCGGCGACGCGGTTAGCGCGACTGGACTCGCTCCGACGGCCTCCAACATATCGCCGACCTTATCCCAGGTGGACTCGACCCTATCCCAGTCGGTCAGTTCTGATGTAAGTACTTCTAATGTCGGCAGCGACGTCACCAGTGGCTTCGTCAGCGACGTCTCCAGCAGCCTCGTCAGTGATACCTCCAGCAGCCTTGTCAGCGACGACTCCGGCAGTCTCATCAGCGACATCTCCAATGACGTCATCAGCGACAACTCCAATGCCTTCGTCAGCGAGGATTATAATTCACTTGTCAGTGATGGCTCTAACAACTTCGCCAACGACGTGTCCAACTTCATCAACGACGTCTCCAGCGATCAGGTCACCATCACAGAGCAGCCGATCACCCAGATCCAAACTTACTCGCCGGTGACCGTCAGCTTGTCCGATGACGCCAGCGGCTCGCTGACCTCCGGTGACCTCAGCAGCACAGAACCGTCGACCCTGGAACAGGTCACAATCGACGAGGGCCTCTTCACGCTTCTCGATTCCGCCGACTTCTCCGAACCACTCGACTCCGCTGACGCTGTTACAAGCCAGCAGACCAGTGACGTCAGCACGCCGCTGGGCGACATCGACAGCGGCTCGTTCATCGTTGATGGCATGACGTTCGACGAGAATGGCGTATTCACGCTGGAGCTCGTGCAGACAGATCCGCCGCCAGGGGCGCTGCAGTCGTCCTTGGCCGAGTTTGACCTGGCCGACGGAGGGGGACGGGTCTCACCGGGGCAGGTGCTGGTGGAGCTGGGTGACTCTGCAGCCAGTTCGCCGGTCTTCGATGACCGTTCGGCAGAGGTCGCCGCCCTGCTGGCGTCGCCGGAGATCAACAGCGCGCTCCTGCCATCTAGCGGCCAGGAGGCGCAACCGAGCCGCAAGCGGAATGTCTATTGGTCACATTGGCTGCCCGGCAGGTGAGTGGTATTGAGTGCGCATGCGCAGAGGCCGAGACATGGGAGTCTGGATCCTGCCCTGCAGTTTGTCTAAACTGTGCTATTCTAAGCGGTGCGGTACGATATCCGACTGCAGCACTAGTGCCTCAGGCCACATCCTTTCTTAATTATTGTCTCGTAAAAAACGCATGATAACAGGAGATGTTTCTGCAGGTGTGCTGTCCGCGGTCCTTACCTCCAAACTGCGTGGCTCACAAATGCATAGACACGTGAAACATTCATGAGAAGTGGCCGTTAAGATATTGCTGGTTTTGAGTCACAGATTATGTGTACTCACATATTGAAGGTCACCACACACATGAATTGCTTGCGACCTTTGCAAAATTTGTGTTTTCCGCGGTCCATGGCATGTCTGTCACTCGTCTGGATCCCTAAAAATATCAAGTACATTTTACTCCAATCACTTTTAGACCCTTAGGCTTTCAGCCTGCCAGGCTGTCACGGCTTATGTCGGTCTGTCATTCTGTCATTCTGTCATCGCTGCTTTAATCTCTTTGTCAGTCGGCGTTTTTACCATCGGACAATGATATCTCTGTCTCCCTGTTAACCTGCCTTGGTTTTGGTGCTTACATCAGTCGGCATTTTCTTTCGCCTGTCAGCTTATCAGTGTTTTAGTCTGTTCATCAGTGTTTAAGTCTGCTTATCAGTGTATTTTACCGGCGTTAATGCCACTCGCACCGTCAGGTTCGCGCACTGAAGGCAAACAGCAGCGCCCTCTGCAACTCGGCGTGGGTCAGCGAACCGCATCAAAAGCGCGCCCCGAACCGCTGCAGCCAGAAGCTCAGTTGGTGAGACTCTGCCGAGGGTTTCAGCGGAGAAAGGCGGCCGCCAGCGCCTTCTTTCGTGAAAGAAGACAAACTCGGGAGCGGTCTGTCCTAGTGACGTCATTCCGGTGCGGCGTGATTACCGCACCTGACGCCAGACGACGCTGGAGCCGCCCTCCGGGCAAGAAACAGAGGCGCGATGACCGCCCCTTGTGGTAGTCCACGCAGCGGACGCCGGCTTTGGTCTCTAAGTGTGCGAGGACATGTCCAAAGCGAGAATCGTGAAGCAGCGGACGACACCAGAGCGAGTATTCCTCGCCAGACTCTAGTTGAACTTTGGAACCACTGGTAACCCATGCGGTTCTTTGTGGCTGGTCTGTAGTCGTCGTTCCCATTACCGCGGCCGGGGTACTATCGGCACAATAAAGTTACACCGATAGTGCGCTTTATGGCCTTGATAGTCAAGTAGCAGTTGTCCGACGATCCAGTAGGTGGCGTGATGAACGCAATTGTGCGGAGGCCAGCGCAATTGAACAAAAAACGGAGTCTGTTGTGCTTGCTTTTGATCTAGCCATTGCTTTTGTTGTGGGTTTTGTAATAAGCTAGGAAATTTAAGAAACTGCTGTGACTCTGTTAAGTTGCACTTTTTTGTTATTTGTATTTATTTCTTAATAAACGGTAAGCAGTGTGTGCGATTGAAGCGTTGGTTTTCCTCGTATCATTTCGATGACAACATACATTTGCTGCGTGTTGTACTACACATACCTGGGTTGCCATACACAGACCGCTCTAATATCAGGATCATTATCACAGCTGTTACGTTATAACAGCGTGACAGCTTATGCGCACATGCTGTCAGCAGCTTGCTGTGAGTGCACCCAAATCTACTCATTGCTTTCTGAACACATTTTTGTAACACATATCATACCGCAACGTGCTTCACACCCAGCATTCATCAACGGTTATTCGTGCTCCGGTTCGTGAAGCCCGTTACCAGAACACGTGTGGTGTAACTTCGCTTCTTAATGGTGACTCAATATGCTGTTGATCAGTGACGGGGGAATATTTTGTCGCATAAGCCCACATATGCTTATATTTATTGAAGGGCTCAGGAGAATATTGAACGGGCTCAGGAGAATATTGAACGGGCTCAGTTCAGCATTTGGGGATGGGGGTGGGTGGGAGAGGGGGGGGGGAAATTAGGCCCTCGGAATTGCATTTAAGTGAGCTCGTGGTCTCAGCTGCGCACCATAAATATCCACTCAAGCATTCGCTAACCTGACTAGATTTCTGTTACTGGGCAGCATGAGCAACATGTTACAACATGTTACCCATGTTGGTCAGTTAGACGTAAATATATTATTTTCCTCATCACCGCATCACGATTTTGATATAAACAGGGCAATGGTGAACAACTGCACTCAATCCTGACGGTGGATGTCTAATCTGTTATGTAACAGCGCACATCAGTAAGCCGACCAGAGGTGTGTACACCGTCCTATGCTGATAAAGCCTGCCTTGCCGGACTTTTTGTGCTATCGACGCGAGTCCGTATGTACTTAGGTCCTGACGACGGAATGGCAACCACAGGTAGGGAACAGACAAACCACAGGAGGCCATGCCTGAGCAGCGTGCTACGGTCAAATCGGCGGAAAATACAGCCCACCGGCGGAAGTTCCATAGTGTGCGGGTTTTAGTGTGGAACTCACGTTTCTGCCGCCTAGGCACTTGTCATGGCCAACCCTCTGCAGACGTTCTACGAGTGTGAATGACTCGCCAGTTACATGGCCGCTCGAGTGACGTCAGAGTGACGTCAGAGAGTGACGTGGTGTGGCGTTCTGCACGTATGCTTGGTGTCGCGTTTCGGACTGACGTAAATAAGGACTGTGTCGACGGAAGTTACTCCGAGGCAAACCAAACCAAAGCACTAGCCATGAGACGTGACTCGCTTCAACACGCATTAACCATGGTCGAATCGTGATTCAGCAATAACGCGTTTTCATCCAACCAACATCGATAAAACATCATCATGACTCAGCACGTTGACGTCCTGATATGGACCACACAGGACTAGATTCCGCAAAAGGTGAGGCCGTCTCAAAACTAAGGCGACGACACGATCGGCTCGGTTCGATAGCGGATGGCGACGCCACGGAATCAAGACAAGGCACGACATGAAATGACACAACGTAAACATAGCGTCTGGGATCACAGATCACATCACAGGAGGTCGACAAGTCTAATGAGGATTGGGGCGTGCCAACATTGCGGTCACTTGGCCCTGTGACGAAGCGGATCACAGAAAATCGAATAGTCAGAAGGCCGTTTGGTAAACTGATTTCCATTTGCAGCCTCAAGTAATATGCAGTCTACCACGTACACCACCTCAAATGTCTAGAGCGTGAATGGACCTGATATGGCCCAGACACGGCAGATCTCTTGCCCTGACCATGGTCCACTTCGCCATCCTAAATCGCTCATTTCCTACCATTCATCACCGCAACTTCTTCCGCATTGCTCCACCAGACTTCACTGCAACAGACTTGATAAAAAATAGTTCAAGGTTCTCCTTTTGGAAAAAACATGATTGCTCAGCAGAACCTCCATCACGCTACCGGCGCCCGGGGTTGAGGCTGACTTGTTGCAGTTTCGTCACCAACAGTTAGAGCAGCATTATCGAAGGCCTTTTTGGAGTCGGCCCGCGCGCCGGCCGTCGGTCTTCCAGCCCGAGCTGCATTCCCGCCGGCACCGTCACCAATGTCTACGTCCACACAGAGCTCCTCTTGTCCTTCCGGGCTCTCGCATCCGCTCTCCTCACGCCCGCCGTCGCCTCCGCCGTCCCCGCGCTCAAATTCCGCGTCCACACTGACCTTCTTACCCAGGCAGGTGCCGTGGAGATGCATCCTCCCCTGCACCATACCCCACGTCACAGCATGCAAAACAAAGATGGCGACGACCGCCCCCGCGGCGACGCCCAAGGTGAGACCTGGCTGCGCCCAGTCCAATATCGGATAGATGCCGGTGTTGCCTTTTGGATCTAGACCGCCGCAGGCGTAGTAGATGATGGTGAAGAGGAGGTAGGCCAGGCCGTAACACAGAGGGAAGGTCACGTGGTGGTAGCGCCGCGGACTTCCGTGCACCATGAGGTCTCCGAGGGTGTAGAGTGTGGTCAGCAGGTGCAGGTGGATGTCAGAGTATGTCACAGCCACTGTGGGAAGAGAGGACAATCAAATTCGCATTTGTCACTTTGTGTGCTATCATTGCCTTCATTAGTCCTTTCCTTGCCGACGCTTGTATTGCTTGATGTAGTGGCAATGCTTTAAGGGTATGTTCTACATCTGAAGGCATTGAAGCAAACATCACATATGGTGAAACAAGCTCACTTATAACTATCGGTACACTTTCAAGTGAAAAGGTACGCTTAAGACAACACAATTTCTCTGCTTATTACATATGTCCTTCAATAGGTTATTGTTTGGTGACGTCATCGTACCTTGCACAATATTGATTGAAAGCCAGTTAACGGCCTTACATCTGGAGAGCGTGCTCACGAATGCCAGACAAGAACGACTCAACGCTTGTATTTGTCTTGATCTTGACCGTCGCATGACCAATGGAATGGCGAGATTTGAATGACGTTATTACGGTGTCATGGATACCTGGGTGACCTTTGAAACAGTCTCCCAGAAATATTCTGCACATCTCCGCGGGCATTTAGCTCGAGAACTTGAATGTTGTTTGTCTAAAGAAGGGCGGGGGTACAAAATGCGTCGAATGATTGTTAAGATAGCTATTTCAGTTCAAAATCCCATGCAGATGTGGAACGCTCCATTCAGTTTGTCGCTACTATATCGATCACTACATTGGTTGGAGTACGTTGGTACCGTCACATCTAATTTGTTGTCGACACCTCTTTCATCTGTCATCGATCACCCGATGAAAACACAAGGACTGAGAACAGAGGAAATTTGGAAAACACTGTCAACCGGTATTGAGTCACGGCTTAAGCGCCCCAACACTGAGGGGAGAGGTCACCCTCCCGTTTGAGTCACGGGTTAAGCGCCCCAACATTGAGGGGAGAGGTCACCCTCCCGTTTGAGTCACGGGTTAAGCCCCCCAACACTGAGGGGAGAGGTCACCCTCCCATTTCGGGAGGGTGGCAAGATGCTCGAAATTAAACACACGCCCACCTTTAACACACTTTCAGTGAATTTGCACGAGACTCCAGACTCCCACTGAGAAGACGGCCGAGATACTCATGGAACTGCTGTGCCTCCCCCCCCCCCCCGCCCACTCGAACAAATAATGATCCATCAATGCAAGGAGCGTTTAATGTTCTGCCAATCGCCTCCCTCCATCACCTACCGTTGATCTGCGGATACACTGCCGTCCAGTACAGCACGCTCACGAACGGCTCCATGGTGTGCGAGATGTTGATGATGGCCCAGTGCAGCTGGTATAGCCAAGACGGCAGCGCCGGCTTGATGCCTGTGGGGGTGGGGTGATCGGTGTCACGGGGTCAGTGTCGGGTCGGGATGGGCGGCGACAAGGTCATGACTCATAAGCCCGGGGCGCATCTGGTGTCAGAACGAGGGGAAGGGAGGGGACAGCGATGGGGAGCAAGCGCTGTTGACCTACGCGCTGCGCATGCGCATGCACTGTTGGTGTCTGTTCCCGGGTTTGCGCACCGCATTCTCACAAAGCGCCGCTTAAATATGCCCATCCCACTCCTGCAAAAACCTTAATGAGTTCAAGGGCAAAGCAACGTCTTTCATTGAAGAACTTAACTAAATTGATCAATTTGCCATGACGTGCAAGTGCTGACTGCATCATAAGTCGCTCATGTTTTATAACATCGTATGTGTATCGCTGGCGTTGCGTCTCATTTGCATGTGTTGCGTGTTCTAAGCTGACGCGGTGTTAGAATAGCCACCCGCTGGATCTCGCCAAGGTTCGTAACTATAACAAAGGTAATAATACTACTGTTAACAATGACAAGCTTCTTAGTGCTTATGCAGCTGTAACAAGTAGCAATGTGCCTAAGAGCGCAGAGAGCGAACCCTAAACATCGCGACTGGTGATGGAACAGCTAGTCTTCCCTCCCTGCGTCCTGTCAGCAATGCAAACGTGAGACAAAAACCACATGACGACCGACTGTGGTCAGGGCGTTGTGGCTGTGACCAATACATGTGGAGGCTGACCCCATACTCCATGCATAACTTATGCGTGCATACCAATTCCCGGAAAGGCTAGGAATCGAAAGCCATCAGCCATCGAGGTGATGTGCTCATCCAGTAAGCAATTTGTTATGTAAAAAGCATGGTGTCTCTCCACCGTTCTGCCATTAGTCGCACTCCACAATTTGAGTACCCTGAAAGAAGCCTGTGGTGCAAAAATACATAGATATGTCATTGGTGGGATAAATAAATCTATATTTCATAAATATATCACGGTGGGATAGAAAACGCCGCTGTGCCTCGAAGTTTAGCATCTACTAGAGTTCAGCAAGCAGCCGATATTCCCTCCTCATGCCCTCGAATAAACAATGTGCCAACGATTTTTCAAATTTCAAAACAGCGGCTTAGACTAACAAACAAATCAGGACGGCTAAAATATTCAGCTGTGTATATACACCTAAAAGTATAAATGAATGAAATTATTGTTAATTATGCAGATAAATAATTAGTTTTTCAACTCATAAATTCACCATTTACTGCCACATCGAGACAAAGCGTCCAGACTACAGCCCTGTAACGTAACTGCCACATAAAAGTCCTTTCAAACTAGCGTTATTGAGCAGCGTCCCCCTTTGGTACCAAATATGAAGCGCACGGAAAGTAAGAAAACTTGATCTAAATATCATCGTTTGCCGTCAGACCAGCACAAATAGCTTTTAAACTTTACTCACAAAGCGCTGTTGTTTCGTCAACTCTACCTCGTCGCCACTTAACTTTGCGGATTTCGTCACAGGGGACCGAGTCGTTCGCCGCATACGCGAAATGATGAGTAGGCACGTGATGATGAAACAAAACCGCCTCCGAAGTGAGCACCGATTGCGCTCTGATTGCTCCGGACACAAACCAGCTCCGGACACAAACCATGCATTTCGTTCCCGCTTATCCCAAGTTTTGTGCATGTCAGGCCTGGTGCCAGATCAGATCCTTGTCTTATACTCACAGCATGAAAATAGTTACAATGAGCGTACGGTTCACAACAACGCGCTCAAACACACTCCTAAATATGCCACCCAGGCCATGCTCTTCCATCTGTCTGAGGCAAAAACAGTACCTTTATGGCATCTGTAGGCGGCAAGAATGGCTGAAACCAGCTGAACAATGGTATCCAACAGTGCCGTAAGGTAGGTCCAGTTGGTGAGGTAGATCAGGTAGTAGCAGAGAGTGGCGCTCGTGAAGTCATGGAGAAGATTCCAGATGAAGAAGCCGAAGAAGTAGCCGAAAACGACGAACCGGTACAGGAGGAACGGCAAGCTGATGGACTCTTTGTCTTGCCACTGGGAAACAGAGCCCGAGGTCACGCTCCGTGACCTCACTAGCAGACTCGGCATCCCGAATCTGGAATCACGAACGCTCCACGGTATCACGAACCCTGCCGTGGCGAATTGGCGCGACTGGTGCGAGAGGAACGGAGGATGACCCTCCTAGCAGTCGCCATGAGTGAGGCGCCGAAAAATTGGGATGTAAATTAAATATAAATTTAAATTCAATTCAATATAAGCTGTCTCCGGCGTCGTGCCGAAAATCGAGGTGAGATGAACCAGCACGGCGGAATCATATGGATCAGCTGACTTCGCTGGTCGCTGGTCACCACATTAGATAGCCCGGCAGAGGTGCTCGGAAAAGGCGTAAGGAACCGTAAGGCGTAAGGCGTAAGGCGTAAGGCGTAAGGCGTAAGGCAGCAAGATTCAGTCAAGTTGGGCCGAGTCTCACCTGGGCCGTGCCGAACCTGACCGGATGGTGGTGAGTAAGGCCAAACTTTCGCCATTTGAGCTGCAGTTGACACCCCATTGTGTACCCTGGAGAGATTTCTCAGGTCACGACGCTCGGCCGGGATTGGCCCCGGTGCAGCCAATCAGCGCTCGCAGTGGGTGGAGCCAGCAGACCTGATGATGGGCACAGCGAACATGTCATATGAGAGGACTTGGTAAAATGATATTTTTGACTTGGTAAAATGATATATTACGGTGCACCAGGCCGACGCCACACCGTTTCTTACCGATTGTGTATCAACAAACTATGATGTACCCAACCACATGTAAATCATGGCCGTTCTGCGCCATCGCATCGTAGGGAGGGAAGGTTGAGATATAAACGTAATTAGGTCGAACATCTGGTCAAGCTCTATCCACTCTGAGAGCACTAACACGCCGAGACAAACACTTAACACTGACACACTAACACAAACGCGTTGAGACAAACACTTCCACAGCACACTGAGCACTAACAAGCACTAACAAGCAACCAACTTCAACTTGCAAGCACTAACACAGCTGAGACAAACACTTACGTGGTTCTCGACGAACCGTACTCAGCCTGACGCTCCCAGCCCGACCTTGGCCCTCCCACGTCACCTTGACCCTCCAAGGTCGACATTAACTCTTGAAAGCAGACCTTGACCCTCCAAGGCCGAACCAGGCCCCCAGGCCGATATTGACCCTTTCAGGCTGACCCTGATCCACAGACCGACATTGGCCCTTTCAGGCTGACCTTGACCATCACAGCTGGCAGCTTTCGCCAGCAGAGGTCACCACGAAAACGTATGCCCACTCATTAGGGTCTTAAAGGAAATGTTCACATTTGAAGGTATTGAACCATGCATCAGATGTGAAGAAACAAGCTCACATGTAACCATTTTTATAACGTTTAAGTGGGAAAGACTGCTCTAGACAGCAAAATGCTCTATTTAGTAAATAGGTTTATCAGTGCGTCATGGTTTAAGTCATCGTACCTTGCACAACATTGATTGAGAGCCAACAGACGGCAGTTTTATCTAGAGAATGGTGCCAACGAACGCCCGATATAAACGACTCGACACTTGTATTTTTCTCGGCCTTGATCGCAGCATGGCTCATAAAATAGCAGGATTTAAATGACGTCATTATGATATTATGGTCACTTTGAAATACTCTACCCGTTATACCTTTCTCCACTTTTGGGCGGGCGTGTGGCTTAGAAACAAGAGGGGATTAAGCCTTAAGAGGACATGGTTGTTAACAGCACCGAAAGATCTTCGAGACGGCTATTCCAGCTCAAAGCCTCATGTAAATGTGCAACAACGTCATTGTTGAACGCAGGCAATAAATGCTGAATACGGGAAGACCGGACCATGAGGCGCCCGTCAGCGCATGCGCAGCTCTTTTCAGTGCATGGCATGCAGCTTGCCTGTCATGCGCAGCAACACACCTTGCTCTAAGCATCGAGATTTCCTCGCTCGGACGGTACGCTTTCAAAAGCTTTCTCCGCGTGGCATGGTCTTCCTTATTTACCCTCCCGAACAGATGGGGTCTTGCCCACGGCGTCACTTTGAAGGTAGCTGGCTTTCTCATGAGCACCTTTGGTGCATTCCGCAATATGTCCTTCTCGTGAATAACGTCCCAGAAAGAGCGGGTGATATCCCTTTGTGGATTCCTAGGCACACACAAAGCTGGAATAAGCAATCGTAGCGCGAGATGCGCACCACCAGCCAAAAGTGTGATAGACGGAAACTATCATCTAAGGTGTGATCGGTTGGTCTGGTTGAAATGCGTCCAACGTTTTTCTAAGAGCGAGACAGGAGATGGGCAAATATGTCTGAATACAAATCAGAAGTATCAGAGGTGTACAAAACAGACCTTCTTTGTCCGAAACTTTCCAGCATGAAGCTCATACAAAGGCTAGAAGCATTTAGAAACAAAGCCCGCCAAAATGGGTAGAAACGAATTGATCTTCATATTACCTTGGCCACGTATACCTCCGTGCCACCGGAGCGGGCAACAAACCTGTAGATTGCACAATCCGTTCACATTGGAGCTCCCGCAATCCCTTCCAGGACACTGCACTCACGGTCTGCACAAGTTAAAGCCGATATCTACTCCACTTGTAGCTGCATGCTTTATCCACTGGCATCGGCATGCTTTATCCACTGGCAGCGGCATGGTTTATCGCCCTCGACCTCCTCACGATTGTTCTGAAGAGGCTGTCGTATCGGAGGTGGGCGCGGATAAAGCACTCCCCACGCCGTCGTACAGAGCGCTTAACAGTTATCAGTCGTATCAGGATTTAGCGCCATCTGTGTGGGCTTTTAAACAAAGGGAGTCGAGACGAGGACCTCCTCGTCTCGACGTCAGCACCAGGTAGAATCCCCCCTGATGTCAACTTTACTGAACTTGGCAATTCGTGAGGTTGGTAGTGCGCGCTAGCAAGATGGCAAGATGTCGCTGTGCTGCTCGATGCGTTTTTCTTTCATTGCGGTGGCAATGCACAGGTGACGGATGCATTTCAGCTCTTCGTCCTTCGTCCTCTCCTGAATCCTGGCTCACTGTCTCACGGAACTCACTGTTTGATCGGAAAGAGTGCGTTCGATTAATCCCTTATTTGTGAATCAACCGGATTGAGCAAACTGACCCAGACTCGTCGATCATACAGCTGGCTTCTCTGTGCAACGCCTGGAAAGGGAAACGTACCCTGTTTCGGCTTTGACTGAGGTTGTTCCCGTGCACCAAAAGTCTCCGAGCATTAAATGGTACACTTGACCTTCAAAGGTTTTTAAAGAGGCAAAGCTGTCAAAGCATGATACCACCTTCAGTTTGGACTGAAGGAGTCGTCTGGTTGCCAGCTTTTCCCTCAACATAATTCCTTCGTCTTTGCCCCATAGCCCGTACATCCGCCCTTTTATTTCCTTTCTTGTTTTACCCTGCATCCTTGCGACGCCCCGCTTGTCCGGGGAGGCCTGCATGCCCCAGCCACGACTGGATCAAGAGGCTGACTGGAGAGGGGCCCCGACCGGGCGCCCAGCGCATGCCCCGTAGACGAGTTCCTAAGTCTCAGCTTAGTCCCCAGACATATGTATTCTCGCCCCACCGTATCCATTCTCTTTCGTTCCTGAAATGCCCTGAGCCCTGAAAGCCCTGAAATGATCATTTATTGTCGCTGGACTCTCATCCAAATAACCAAATAGTCCAATAGCCACGCCCTGTTCCACAATTTTCGCCTTCAGCGGTCCCATTGGGTACGTCCGGACTCACCGAAGGCTGTGAGCAAACGATAAAACCAGCAAACAGTGCCGTCGTCGTATCACAACAGTAAATTTGCACAACGATAAGAGGGCAAAAGCAATTAGCCGGCTTTTAGCTCACGAGCGGAAACAATCATCATTGGTGCAGTCTCGTTTCAGTTGGAGTGGCGCAGCCCGGAGCTTTGCGAATAAAGTGGGGCAATTTGGGGAAAAACGCGTTTAACGAATTAAAAAAGTAACGTAAAAACGAATTTGGAGTTCGTGCAGACGTTTCCTCTTTTCATCCTCCAAGTCTATGTAGGCCGACTACGCCACTGAAAGTTTTTTTGAAGTGTAAAAGCTTTCGCCGAAGACGGATTACAAAAACTTAAACATGGCTTGCACCACGTTCGGCCTTTATCCAGAGACGGCGTGGTCAGTGTCGCCTGGGGGGTGGGGGGGGGGGGGGGGGGGAGAGGGGGAGGGGGGGAAGCGCTTAGCAAGGATGTCGTCCAGCCTGGGCTGCATTGTGTGATAGGGTTCCTTCCAGCCACTGGGCTACTCTTCATCCGCAAGAGGCCTTCTTTTAAATTTGAGGATACGTTTTGGGGTTTTGGAGCTGAAGTTTTTCTCTGATGCTTCAGGGGCCCAATTTTGATTTTGCAGAAATGCTACAGGGATCTTAAACAATCACAAAATACTTGGGCCTTCGGCGCCAAGAGTAGACTTAACCCTTAACGCATGGGATGAAGGGCTGATACATATGCATATTCCTAGTGTCAATCATATACATATTTTTCTCTACTTTCCTTTCCCTCTGGAGTAGGGTAAGGCATTTCCATCAAAGCTCCTTTCCCCTCTGAATACGCCATTCTCTGGAGATCACCAAACAACAAGCTTGGTTTATGACCCTTTTAAGGCAGCAGCTTCCAGCGTCTTCTGAAACTGGTGAACATTATACATGATCAAGCTTTAGCAAACCATGAAGGCTGTTGGTCGAAAGTCAAAACCTGATGATAAAAAGTGCTTTCCGTAACTTGAATTTCGATCACAAGCCATATCTAGCTTTGAAATTGTATTAATTTCGTCTCAGTTTCAAAATTGTTGCTCGTCCCGGCTCACAGGCTGTGGAAGGGTGGGAAGCTGTTGAAAAATACACGCGCACGGATTCGCACCGTGGATTTGGGGTGCACAAATCCACTTCTTTAACCACTCAGCCACGACCGCATGTTCCAGCAGATGCTAAATTGATTTAATCAGGTTATTTTCCAAATTACTTATCAAGTATTGCTGGTAATTAAAACACGCGCAAAAAACGTTAATCCTCTCAAAAACAGCAATAGACGTAACTGAGAGAAGTCTGTTGTTGACGCAAAACCCAACGGAAAGTAGGCAACATCTGCTCATTAGAAAAGTCATGCATGCAGCAAAATTTGCGATGACCACTTCCTCGATATTCAATAATGTTACGCGCTAGCAAAATGTTGCACTTTAGTCATCTGACCAGGTACTGAGTGGAATGGCCTGGAAGAATACCGGAGGGCCCGATAGACCTTGCGATATTTGCTAAATACCCGCGAAATTTACCAAGATTCGGGGGAATCGGCTCTGTTGTTGGGGTCTTGGGATGCATTTACATTGATGTGATGAAGTTAACTTAACTTTCGGAGCCCAATAACTTGAGAGCATCCAACACTAGTCAGATGAATCAGAGAATGAACTGCCTTCAGAATGATAGTCTCAAAACACAGCTCCTACCCTTCCAAGCTCCCGCCGACCGAAAAGCTGCAAAATTGCGATCGCACTCATGCGTTTGAAGGGCACCGGTGAGTCTACCTGCTTCTTTGCTTTTTTATTGCATTATGCATTAATTAATAATTTCGATTGCATATTTTAATTAGCGTCAAGTCTGTCCATGACTTAATTCGGCCGCTGTGGACGTTCGCCGTCGGCCAGTGTGTGGCCGACCCAGTCAGCGTGGTGCTTCCACCCGACGTTGTTGACACACGGCGACCACGTCATGGCATAAGCCGTGCAGGCCGCGGGTAGGCCTCGCCCGCAGTGACGGCAAACATGCATCAGGCGTTGTTTCACACGTACGCCAGAATAAGGCGGAACGGTGTGGTAGAATATCGGTAGAAGATGGTGGAGCATGGCCCATCAATCCGAGCCAAGCTTGACTGTCTGTCTGTTGAGTTCTCAAGGGAGAAAGCGAACGTTTTAAAAGCCAATGCTAGTGTAAGGGCGCTGAATAAGTCAATTGGATAAATATAACAGTGCTTCCTGTGCCCGTGTTATCAGTGCTGATTTTTCGAAAGTTTGATCCTCTTTTGCCGCTGATGCTAAGTAATGACAAACAGCATAGGCACGCTCTTTCAAACCGTGATTTGTAACTCGCTGAACAGTGCTAGTAGCACAGGAGTATCTTCGACCTCCATTTGGTTGGTGCTGGTCCAAAGTTTTGGTGCTTTACGATCACAGACACGGTGCCATCAGCACTCGGGGGTTCGTATGTGGCACACTCGATTCAGGCCATTTGTCTTCTCCAGACCAGGATAGTTGTAACAATAACCTCACATTTTTCGGAGAGGTCTTGAAGCGTTCGGTAAAGTTCGCAAAGCGCACATATCACCGCGCAGTTTAAGCCGACCGATTATCAAGCCATTCTCATCTTTTCTGCACTTACCAACTTCCTTTTATGTTAGGCCACTGACCAAAAACAAAAGAGACCAAGAATGTTTTTGAAATTATCGCACGGCGCAAATGTGGAAAATCACCGAACGCATTTTTGACCATCTACACAACAGATCTTCCCGACTAGTGTTTCCAAAGGCTGTGCAATAACGCCGTCATTATTCATGGGGGCTTATAACGGACCAGCTTCACTCTAGGCCGCGGACTGAACACGCACCAAAGTCATGTTGACGAATTTCCTACAGTGTCTCAAGCTCACCATCATCGCATGAGGATGATGAGTTCTAGGTCATCCAATGTCAAAGTGATGGAAGGTCGTGGTATGGCTTTCATGTGATCCCGCAATGTCCCTTGAGAGTAAATTGTGACATAGCGTGCGTAAACCAGTTTCACCTTGTGGGCATACGACAGTGGACATTGGGCACATCAAAATGACTTGATCAACATACAAGTAAAAGGTGACCGGTGCTGAGGTGACCGGTGCTGCGGTGCTGCCAATTAAAATAAGAAAACGTTAAAGAATGTGGATGATCTCGCGTTACGTTGCATAACGTAACGTAAATAAATTACGTTGCATAACATAACGAAGTCGGCAAAGCTGGCGATAGTCCACATACAGTAGTGTTGCAATTTGGTCATATTGTAGTGCGATAGTGAATTGTGTCCTGATTGGGCGCAGTGCTTCCGAAAAGGTATAATTTTTAAACAGACGCGTTGCGGCCTCGTGGTGTCCTGCTGCAGTTAAGCAGCCTTCGCTGCTATTTTGCAGCGCCGTAAGGTGCAGTGCTGGTGATAGTAACGCCATCGCAACAATGCGGTGCTGCCACTCTACAACACCACAAAATAAATCTGCAACAAAGCTACTTCCACAGCACAACACCATTGTATTTTAACGGCTCAAGGCCTTAGATCTACCACCTGGGCACTACGTTCTACTCATACTAAGCGGGCACTATAACACTATGTCCCAAGCTACAACACATCAGGTATTCGCAACACTACTCACAATTCTGCTGCTCCTTGCCGGCCGTACCTGCCACTACTGTCACCCACGCACGCCAACATCGATTGATACCTCATGG